GTGTCAAAGTATTGAATCAGTCAATGACGAAAGTGTACATCTCTTCTGAAGGTGACTATTATTACTATTATTGTTAGTAATAATTGTAGTAACATCGTTACTGTTATTGAAAGTTTAAATTAATTACTAAGTGATTGAATATGTTTTATTTAGAATATTAAATAAATTATAAAACTTCATTTATTGAACTGAAATCCATAAAGAAATAGATACTGTGTGCATACCACTGGTAGGAAATATATTTTGTTGCAAAGTGACGAGGCATAGAAAGACATTGAAATACAAGACTGGATAAATTATTTTGTCCTATTGTGAGGACATTGTATGAATGCGCATCCCTTTCGTGGGGTCAAATTTAAGATTAATAAGTTATAAAGTAATTATGATGCTTGTATATTACTTATTTGAGATCCAATTATTCACATTATCAACTTCATTCCAAAGTCCAATGTAACGATCGTCATTCAATGTAACCGATGATAACTGTCTAGTTCTTTGTGTATACGTATAAAAATATCAAAGCTGTTACGATTATTACTGACTGGTACTTGGAATAAGAAAAAATCGACATTTGCATGGCATAAGGTAAAAGATTTTATTTACCGTTTAAGAAGTAGTAACAAGTTATCAACCAAATACACTTATATACACATCATACTAAGATTTAATGATTAACTGATGAAGATTAATTAAATGAAATAGTGATAACATAAAATGAATTTTTGTTGAAATAAGAAGAAATGAATGCTAAATGTCATACCGCAGTAGCAATACACTAAACCAATATTAAAGAATGTGATGTTCATCAAATATTACGCATATATCACACTGAATTCGAGCATGGCCTCAAGTTTTATCAAGGCCTAACTATATGTATTTAAAAAGAATAAATATATATTAATCATTTATGTAACCAAGTCTTGAATATATAAAGCTTTTCATTTAAAGAAGTTTATTTGATTTAATTCAATCTAGTGTATATAAGCCTGTGATATCTAATTATGATGATCAGTAACAGATAAGTAAAAAATATCACATTCCCACAAAGAAATCCGTCACAGCTCGAACAAATCAGTAGTAACATTTGTGACAGTAACACTACATAAAATGTAGTTCAGTTTTATAGTAAAGTAACATCCGACCTTTCTGGATTATAGATATGCCCAAACGAAAAAATCTCTGACTGCTTGCCACCTCCAACCACCGTACGTGTACTTATTTATGTGTAATACGAAAGGGAACGGTTAATGTTACAGAAGGTGGCTACAGCAATACACTAATACTTTATTATAAAAGCGAATTCTAACAAATAAATAATGTAGTGAAATATTCATTAAAAGATACATCAGAAAAGCTTACTACACATCATTTTGCCTATACATTAATAGAGAAAAAAAGTAATTTCTTGCATACATGTATCTCAACCTTAGTCCTTGATCAAGAACGTGAATAAAACATAACAAGATTTGTAATGAAAATTATTGTGAATCAGTACAATATCAGTTGTTGTATAAATGAAGAGTAAGCAATCACACACAAACGATTTATTCAGCCAAATAACACTGCAGATTTTATCAAAATAACAATTATTGTTTAAAAAAGAAATTGAACACACCTGATGTAGACCAAATCAAAACGGAACCAAAATATTCAGATTTTCTTTCATTACAGGTTAAAGCTGTTTGAAATTACTAACAAACAACTAAATGTGAGGTTAGATGATTGTGAAAAATAGGGTTGTTTTCAAAATACTTGAAATTAAAACACCAACGTAGAAACAAATATGTTAATTCATTCTGACAATAATTGCACAAGTCGATGTATCGATGTATCTATTAACCGACTTAGAAAATAATCAAATATGATGATTTATAAGTGAAATTTTGAGTCTGTGAAGTCAAGATTTCAAAATGTTGTAAAAACCCGTTCTACTGATGATTTCAGTGAATCAATGAACGATGTCTTAAACTAAATGCATGAAAATACATCTCACGCAATCGATTTTTGAACCAGGTAACTAGAATTGCACACCTACACATATTTATTATGATATCTAAAGAGACTTGGCAACTGAAAATATTTTAGGTCAATCAAATAATGAGAGACAGTATTGCAGATTAAGCTACATACTGAATTTGTTTTGTTTTCAGGTGTTTTTCAAATCAATTTGTATTCACGACATTACTTAACAACTGATGAAGTATTAAGGAACTCTGAACTTCATTTGATATGAAATGATTAGAGTTGTGTTGAACGAAGTGGGATGTGACGGATTTAATCTGTATGGTTCCAAACGTGTGTTGTGTATTTTATTTTTATTTATTGGAGTGTGATTGGCAATGGACTCTGAGTGGAAATGTCGTCGATTCGATGTAAATAATGCGAGTTTTATGAAACCTTACCGAAGCAAATATTCACATTCTGTCACGCTTAATACACAATAATCTTAATGTCTTTACACTGACTGATTAAACAAACTTACTAGCAAATGTGAAGATCTTTCCCTAGCATATTAAATGTCCACATGAATTTCAGTAATTTAAAGATGTGTCGTATCTTTCAAAAGGCTATTATTTAGTGTTAGTTCGACCGTCAGATTGAGACAAAACCTGGATGTTTTAATAAAAGTTCAGCATAAACGAATACACATGTCATTATCACATATTTTCAGTCATACCTCCAATTGTCTGTGTCTATATTTTACGGCTATCCCATAGACCATAAATAGGGTGTTTGAACTTTCTAACATGAGTTATTGTAAACGTTCATGTACTGATACCATAGATGTGGCTACACTTTGTCTATTCTTATTCTGATCAGTTTTTCACATCAGGGAAAAAGCTGATTAAATATGCGTTGTAGATATTTTGACGCAAGTTCGTAACTTCACTTATTGATTTACCCATTAAAATTACTGTATAGTTTAGAACAGTTTTTGTTAGTTAATTTAGGAAATACAATTAATAGTGTAAAATTATTTATATTGGAGTTATCAAGACCGCTATTCATATAAACTTAAAAAGAACATCAACATTATCTCTCATTGTTGACCAAAAGGCAAAAGGAAGCACCAAGTAGTTTTTTTCTAGAACATGTAGTTGATATTGCCCATCGTCTCGATACCATGTTAACTATCAAAATTAGAATTCTGTCGAACTTGCTTCATGTGTTTAGAATTCGTCTCTTACATACAACAGAACCTATAGGAATATACATAAATAAACGTAGTCACTGTGTACAGAAAATGCTTTGAGAAGTATTTTGATTTACTCTGACCTTTTATTTAATTCTGCCTACACTTCTCAATTTCTATATTTCGAGCTTACACAATTCCTTTTTACTTTATTCTTACCTAACTAGTTGTAGCAACTGATTCACTATGTAATCTTGTTTTCAATTAAGCTGTCATTAGTTGACTTACTAACTGATCACTAGTTTCTAAACAGATTCTAGGAAATTCATTAAAAAAAAAACTAATCTACTACTAATTAATATTTGATATTGATTTATCTTTAAGTTGATAAGTGTTTTTATTACGGTAGAGACTTTGACATGAAACTAGTTAGAGAAAAATATGTTTATCTTCACATAATTTAGACCTTTTTAATACACTAACAAAACTATTTAACTTCAAGTATGTATCATTATTAAATGTGTTTCCTAAGCTACTCTAATCTTATTTTACTTAGTAAAATAAGCAGATAAATCTATTAGAAACTCAAAATTAATTAATCATAAATGAGAAAAAGAAAAATCACTAGTCAATAATCTAAATATTAAAAATTGATAACAATATTGAAATTATTGTTTTGTTGGGACTGATTAGACAGGAATATCATAATTTGAACAATATATCATAGATATGTATATGGTTGTTTGTATAATTAAAGTAAATTCAAGATTAAGTTTTAATGGTACTAACCAATTTATTGTTGCAGTTGTCAACATTTACCTTTTTTGGTTAGGTAGTAATGCTTTAGACAAGTAAATCTGTATTTATTTAGTAGAAATATACTTGTGAATATACGATGATAAAAATGTCATTTTTACATGAGTTTGTGGTTAACCGCTAAAAAGCTATAATTAAAATGATAGTATTATAAAATTAGATGAAATATATTTTAACTGGGTTTAAGTCTCACACGCGTTAGTGTAAGACCGAGTGTGCTAGGTTCGAGTCCCGCGTGTGAGATCGTGGCTGAGTATTGCTGAGGTATCTCATACTAATACGAAATGGTTATCTAGTGCTTTTACGTTTTCGATGGCAGTCTATGATTGATTGGTTGATGATTTCAATGGAATTTACCAATCGCTATAAATGCTTACTGATAGAAGACTTTTTTATTTGGTTTAAGTAATTTTATTCGGAGGTAAATTTTCACAGATAGAATTCTTGAGTTTATTTTTTCTAATCTACACGTTACATTTAAACAAATTGACACTGTCATATAAATTCTATTATTCCATTCTATGATGCGACCAATTTATCACAAACGAAAAATAACCGCATGAAGAATTACATGATCTTCAATAAAATATTACTATTTTAATTAAACGAGCAATGTTTAAGAGTCTTAATAGTGTTATATATTCTGATTGGATTATCAAAAAGTCGTAATTATTTAGTAATTATAGCAAAATTATCTTCGAATATGTATAACTTGCCCAAATCGTGTTTCATGAGTCATAAAAGAGATAATAGGGACATATAGACATTTTCCTGATCTGAATTTGTGATCTTTAGAAAGGATGTTTTCTGAAAATCGATTCACTTTAAGACAATGATCATAATCAATCGAACTTATTGATAGAACCATTGTAAGCGGAGAAATGATTTCTGTATGCTCTTTTTTTAGCATACCCTGGGTTAAATCTGATTTAAACAATTATTTAATGCTTAAGTGGGTCTGTTAAAATTTGGTAATTGATTCCAGTCCAGCAAATTATGATAATGAATTATGATAATTTGACATTGAAATTTAGTTCACTTCAACACTTACTGATTTGTTCGATCATAGTCTGGCGCTAAAGCAGTAGTAACAATTAATTTACCGTCAGGTCCACATAAATAGTTGACACGTTTTTTGGACTGATTATTATTTGATTTACCATCATCAGTATTTTCTTTGTTTAAACCATTGTTTTCTCAAAAAAAAGAAAATGAAAAAGAATTAACATAATCCAATTAAGTAATTACATAAAATATATTAACGTCCGTGAAACTGTACTTTGCAAACAAACCAATCAATTTCAAGATGGTACCATTCGGATGTCTGCACAAATTTTAAAATTTAATTATGGATACACAGCAAATAATTAAATCATAATGTAAGAACTGAATAAAATTGTGAGACCTTAAGGTCTTGGGTTCAATTTCCTGTAAGGTTGTGGATGTACAACCCTGTAATCTTGATAACTTTCATGATTTTTACACACCTTAATATTGATAATTGAAACGATTGTGAGCATTTCCTAAGATAATGATGAGAAAATTATTAATTTGACAGCGGAAAATATAACTTTCTTTCAAAGTAGCTTAAACAACTTAAGTTTTCAATTCAATGAACTATCTGCAATAATGGCTGCAAAGCATTGCTACATTATCATCGCAGACCTTACTCTAATTTGAATCTTCATAACAATGTCAACCATTTAAGTAGTTTTTATGAGTTCCATTTTTTTATTTCTGCAATAAATTATTTATTCATAACATATACACTTTGACTGTCTAATAAATCACTGAAATTCCTCAGGGTGCCTTGCAGAATCACCCAAGGTTATGCATAAAGTATGGTACCGGCACACGAAAGACTGTGATTTGTTTGACGGAAGGAAGAAAATTGAGACTACAGACTGTCTGTTATACACCATAAATAATTCAAAACTATATCTAAATAGAACCGGTTTTACCTGGATTATTTATGTAATCATTAATCAAATATGAATACACTGAGTTAGACAATACTTGATGTTGGTGAATTAGTTACAATTTACATTAGCAATAAAATAAATTGCTCTGATTAAAAAATATAGGTCAATTACAGTGCTACTTATTTCCTCCTTCATAACATTTACAAATTTTAGTACAGAGAAAGAATAAATTTAAGTTCCTTCATTTCCTGAATGTATTACAGAGGGTTTAATAACCTTAAAAATATATATACATTAATTAGTTGAGTATAAATATAAGATACACTGTACACTGTATCTCAGCATGGCAGGAAACTATTGATCACAACTGATAAATTTAAAAGAGAATTCCCTTAGGATGGATATCTGAATTGTACCAAGTAGAAGGATAAAAAAGATTTCAATTGAATTTTAAAGAGAGAATCGAAGACAAAAAATAACATGGCTTTCAACAGAGTATTAGATAGTTATTATCACAGACGAATATCAGCACATGAACTATGGCAAATTTATTTAAGTATTCAATTGAATAATATCTCATTTATGCCCGTTTCCTAAAACATATATATATGAAATCAAGATTTTCTCAGTTGTATTTAAGTTATGCCTATGGTCTTTAACACAATACTCTGTAATGTTTTATCTACTGACGATCATCTGTACCTAGAAAACTTATTTTATTTTCTAGAGTTTTTACGTTTGTAAGATCATTCTCTATTATTCATTTGAAAAGTTCTGAATAACTAATTTATCGATTCCAGGTAAAAGTAATCAACTTGGGATCATATTGTATGTACTACCAAACTGTTCATTTCAAATTATGTAAAGTGAAGTACAAACCTTTGTAATATTGTTTGCGATTTTGCTATTTTAATAACTCTTAACTTATAATAATATTTTTATGATTTTACCTTCCAAACACAAACAAATTTCAATGTATATCGATCTATTAAAATTGGTTCTTGTTGGACATTTAATCAAATAAGGAAGGGTATTTACACTAGACATTTGATTGTTAAAATTATATTGGTTGCAACATTAAACACACTCTCGGCATAATAATAGGCTTTATATAAAAAAAAAACAATGAGAACGGAAGTTCAATTATCTGACCAAGTAATTAATATTGTTAGTAAATGTAATACTTAAAACAATTACTAACCAAATACCTTTGAATAACCTTTTTCAATCTTTTTATTTTCAACAAAGATTTCAACTTTATTCGTTAGTTTTCTTTTCTCGCTTACATACGGTGTTAATAATGTAGATATAAAAGTACAATGAAACAATTTATTTTATGGGAAACTACTTAACAGAAAATCCATTGATCAACAAATCATATGGTTACTGTAAAAGAAAACGTATGTATCTTGATATTTGCATAAAAAAATGCATTCAGTAATGAAAAAAATCATAATTCTGGTTATTATCATAATATACCAGTTTGAATTATTATAAATTCACGAAAAATCAAAATTAAAATGGATAATAAATAGTATATGAGAAACAAATTAGAAAATAATATGATCCACAGATTCAGAGTTTAAATTCAATGTACTATTACATGTATCTTGGATCAACGTCAATAAAAAAAAGCACCAAAAATGTTACAGTTAATTAGTAATTTTAAAAAGTAAATTGTTTTATTACCTATTAACATATCACTAACTTTATGAGAAAAATAGTTCAGCTGACTTTTGTAAACTTAATACTCATATAACATATTGAAAACCCTTCAAACTTTCGATTTTCCTCAAATTGTCGTTGAATAGAAAGCATGTAATTCTTTCAAGTAATCTCAATCTCACAGGTGGAATATAGATAAATGAGATTCGGAAATATGCTTATTAACATAAGTCAATGGTTAAGCAAATTTATTAACATTGAGTGTAATGGTAATACTTGATCTTTTATTGTTTATAAATAATAAATTATATTGTCAACATGGAATTTGTTGTACCGACTCTAAAGCCAAGTGTTCATAAACCTTGAACCCGTATTCAACGTAAATGTATTTACAAGTATTTTTGATTGTTATGATAACACTAATTACCAATTTTCTCGTTAACTAATACACTTGCCAAAAGTAATCGTTTTCAGTCATTACATTTTTATATTGTTTATTCAATTAGTATACAATTCGTATCATAACCCTTCTTTATCACAAAAAGGGAAAATGACCTTGAAAGGTATAACAGCGCTATTAATTTCGATTATTTAAAGTAGTTTTAGGTTATTGGGTGCCCATCCTTTTATTTAAAACTGACACATTATTAGGATTGTTTATATTATGAAAATTATGATTAATGGTTCTTAATTATTACATCAAAAAGCATGAAAAAGTAAGAAATATCAAAATGTTTGTTCAGTCGGCTACAACGTAGGACCAGACACATATATGTATTGGTCCTAGTTGCTACACTTCATTGGCACAACAACATGAACACCGAATTCATAGAAGTAGTTAATTCAATGGTAGTAATATATAAAAGAATGATTGCATATAAGGATATAGTACAGGAAGAAAGAATTAATTCGTAGAAAGAAAGACATAAAGCAGTTTCAATCTCATGGTTTAAGGGAAGACAGAGAGTGTATACACCGATGCCATTGTGATCGATTCTGAGCCATGTCATCAAGAGTCTCCAACCATTGGTTACAATAGTTGCGTGGACCCCAAACAAGTAGTCTACATCTATTAACATGGCTCAGGCTAAAATTTAGTGACTTTATAAATTGATGCCACTTTTTAGTTTAGTTGCTCCTAACTTTCTTCCATCCGTCTCCAATCGTGTTTTGTTTTATTGTAATAGAGGACTGTATTTCCTTCTCATATGTATTAGAAAGTAAACAGTTTAGGTATTTTCAATTATCCTTATTTAAAAGAAACGGCTTAAATATATTTTTGTGAACAAATTTCACTTGACTAATACTTTCATTGCAAAGATTATGTAAATGCTACATACCACGCAAATTCTCTTACCTAATTAAATGGTTTTTCATTCATAGTGTATACTTGCAACAGTAAGTCTAAATGCCTACTTTTTCTAAATACACTTACAAGGTAAAAGTAACTGAATTAGTTAGACTATATATTATGGTTATTAAAGGGTCTATTGATACAATACCATCTATTAGTGTGTTAAAACAACGAAGTAAAGTTCTATTTATCGACAATTTGAATAAGAGACAAATTGTAGCCAACCTTTACATCTGTCACTCAATTGTCACGTTGAAAAGTAATTGTAGTAATGAATCAGGTTATTTGATTATATTCTATCCAGACAAAGTAATGAAAACACATTAGTTGTAGATAAATATGCTGTTTTTAATGGTTACATAATCCTAACTAATCACAATAACAATAATAAAGAAAAGGAAACTTGTTGAAATACCTTGTGCTTAGAATTCTATATCGTACCGAAAATATAATATTGAATAAAACCACTAGTGATGAGGAAAAAATGAATGAAAAGATGACAATAAACACTAAGTGAAAGTGTTTCTTAACTTATCTGTACATAAGGTGATCAAAACTGTATACCTGTTATCTACTTTATCTGTTAGGTAGAGAAATGAACTATAGTATTAATAATGGTTATTAATTCAAGCTAAATAATTGGAAAAAAAATGTAGAGAACAGAATTCAGACAAAAACAAATAAATAAAGGCCGATCTCAACAAACGGTTAATTTCTTTTCTTTCTCAAGTCATTCTAAATGATGATCGTATAAGTAGGCGTGAAGGAAAATAGTAAAAGAAAACTGTCAACAACTATTGATAAACATACTAGACAGTACAACGTTATGTAACAGTAACATCTATGTAATGGTAAGTGAACAATAATAGTACTTAAAAATCATTATGCGAAACTCAATGTGTTTTCTTTACATAATGGATGTGAGGTAGTTTCTTGTAACGCAAACATTCTGATCATCTTTACATGGTTTAATAAATTTTTATAACTGTCTATTTTTAGGCAGTTTAGATAATAAAGTCTCGTGGAAATATATATAAATATAGTTATGAGACTTAGTTTCTGGAGATCAATTTTAACTTTATCAAACCAATTACTGTATGCTCACTAATGATTTCATTTAAATGAATTCCTGAAATCCTGATAGGTAAGAGCGAACGGTGGAGTTCAGCCATATTTATGAATGAAACACAAGTCTTTAATGAAATTGGTTGATCTTTGCACTATAGTATGATTTGAGTGAAGATGTAAATGTATA